CCTCAGAAGAAGCTCGCCATTCGTGCTAGCGTCATGTTAGGAAGCAACTCGAACCGACGATCGTCTTTAAACTCGAATTATTTAAAGTATACACTTCTAAAAAGGCTTACTGATTTGACTTTAAAATCGTGTATACATTTCGTTTAATATAATTGGGATGTTCAATGTATGTAACATACTAAGAAATATTAGATATAAAAGAAATTATGAGTGCTGTCGGCATAGGGCAAAATAGTATTACGTGGTTAGTATCAGCAATTTCTTAAGTTGAAGTGTACGATGTGTTGCATACCTATTTACAAACAATTCTTTTAAATTTAATTTTTCAAAGAATTTTCAACACAAAGAAAGTGATAAAACAAATTGTTCACAAAAGTGAATTTGGACCACTCGAAGCAATGCTGGGTGCTAAAAATTTCGAGCTCACAGTGACTGATAAGGGGGAAGAACTTGTTATTTTAGCATATTTTCTTCATTAAATATATAAATTTAAAAATGGCATTCTTTTAACACACGAATATTAGATATTCAGGTTTCGTTGGGTATTTTATCATGTCGCTGATAGGCTCAAATAATTAATGGTCACATTTTAGAATAACCATCGATTTTGTGTCATTTTCGTTAACTGAAACAAATGATAAAATACGCGGCGCATTGATGGGAACGTTTACGTAATTTTTCACGTAGATGAACATTGATACATAATGAAAAAGTATATTCAGGGAAGGTAAACTTCAAAACCAAATTAATTAATTACTTCAACGTTTCAGTTCCTATCACGCGATCATTATCTTCAGATTTTACTATATCAAGTCCGACGCAGTAAAAACGAATTTACACTATTATTAGCTACCAATGATAATTTGCTGTTTAATAATAATAAAACACAACAAAAAAGGTATTGTTCAAATAAGCTGAGAAAGTACATACAATGAGAACTTAATGAGAAATCCAAATCTATATTTTTAGAATACAATAGAAAGTATAGGAGGGTTGGACAATTCGACAATATATTACAGTCATAATTGTTTTTTTTTCTATTTTTCGAGTTTCAGTAGTATAAGTTCACTTTTTTAGGGCAGAAACAATACTATATTATAAAAAACTGCGTTTCTTACGAAACAATTCCAAACAATATAAAAAATTAATGATTTTCCTTTAGGGGAGACCGGGCATGGTTGACTAGTATTTTACTGAATAGTTCATATTTTTTGTGTTTTGATGTATATGGACAAGAAAAGCATGTTAATTGATAGAAAATCTATTAACCTAATGAAAATATCTAATATTTAGTTCTTAGTTTTGTATAATAGTGATGATTTAATGCATTTTACAAAATATTAAATCTTAGTCAATCTACCCCTGGCCCGAGGTAGGTAGACCGTATGCCCGGGGTAAGTTGACTCATGTACCAGTAAGAGTCAAATCATGAGAAGGAGCAAATAATTAAACATTTTTTTAATATAATTGAGCCTTTTGTTAAAAAACTTAAATCAAGTATACAAGCATTTCTTACAATGTCTTTAACGAAATTATGGAAACAGTGGTCAAGTTAGTGTAGAATAAATTAACGTTGCTTTTGTTAAATGATGTAGCTCTCGATAGGCTTGCTGCTTGAGGTGATTGGATTGATAGAGAAGGATGACGTTTAAGAAAAGAGCTCAACCAATCTTCACCAGCTAAATATGATAAATGTGCCCTCATTAAACGCTAGGGCTAATAGAAAAATGATTTACATAAAACGAGTAGGCATCAGATCAAAAAATACAATATATCAAAATATTACTTATGTAATTGAAATATGAAAAACATGTCACTGTTCGAAAACGACGCATGACCGCAATGTGGCGCTTCAGAGAACTGAGCGGAACGGAAATGTAATGCTTGGCTATGATCAGATGACATAGTTCATACACTGTCGACGAGTTTTCGGTAGTTAGTCTACCTACCCCTATGGTCAACCAACACCGGTCTCCCCTACTTTTGCTGATAGGCATTCTTTCGTGTCAAGATTGAAGTTTAGCGAGAAGTAGAACAAGGGTTTTTACAATATGGTGTTTTTCAAATTAAAAAATTAAAAGGAATACTCACCCCTAATTACCACAAATAAATTTTATATGAGCGGACACGTGTTTCGCCCACTTCACACGTGGGCATTATCAACGCGAGACTGTGTTTTTCAAAGTTCGTATTTCTAATTGCATTATTGTTAGAGGCTTGAATCTTATAAGGTTATATTGCAATAGGCCATAGTTGATTATATTTTGGAGTTTTAATACTTCTAGTTATTCCTACTGTCTATAACAGTTCCGTGTTTTTATTCTGAGGTATGGCAAACTACAAAACTACAAAAAAAACATTTTAAATTACCACAGTTAGTAGTGTATGTCAGTAGATGGCGATATACTGCTTAATTATACTTGCTTTTGCGAACTAGGTTCGGTTTGGTTGGTGATCTGTCGAACTCAATAATTTCTTCGATACGCTTTTGATCGAATATTCAAGTAAAGTGAGTTAGATACTTACTTGAAATTTTATTTTTAATGATAATTATATATGCCGGGTTATGATGTAGGCAAAACCTTTTCCTAAACGTAATAAAATGGAGTATTTCTATACTCATGTTATTTCATTCGAGACTAATCTTTTCGTTCGTGATTTACTTATTTTGTTTGATTATTGCACCGGCTGTAAATCCAAACGTCAATTTGCCCTTGTCTTCTCTCACCGTGAAATATGGCGCCAGCTCTGTAAAAGTGTCGAAGACTTCAGCCAAAACCCTTCTGCGATATATAGTGTCACAGATTCCTATATAATTCACCTTCCGAATCCCAGTTTTCCCGTTCAATCTCCCCTTGTCCCATAAATAAGCCAGGTAGTTTATCCGTCGCGGTGCAAATAATAATCAAAAAAGAATTGAAGTCCCTAATAAGGAGGTACATTTCAAACGTTCGAAACTTTAGAATCCGTATTTAAATTGAAGGAACCAAATCGGACCTTTCATGATTGCGAAATACATAAAATATTAAGCCATGTGAATATTCTCGCAATGATAGTAGGTACCTAGTCTATAATGATATATTCCAGACGAAAATAATTTGTTACATCCGTTCGGTTGCTTTACTCTTTTAGCATATCCCCATTAGCGGCAATTGAGCAAATGGTGATCGAAACATTTTGTTCATTCAAGAACATACAAAAATATTTATAATATGGAACACCCAAAAGAAAACATATGTAAGTATTTCCAGTGTTTAAGATGCTTGAAGCAAAAAACGACGAAATACTTGTAAAAGCGAAATTCTACGGACCACAGTAAAACAGTCCCGAAAATAACCTAAAATTAATATTAGGCTGGGGGCGAAAGCCTATGAATTAATTTGAAGGTGAAACCAGAACGAATATTGTAGAACTTCCAACATGATCCTATTAGTTATATTTTAAAAATCTATACCTCAATGACTGTGTAATATCGTCAAGAAATTATGCTTAAGGATTTTACTCATCGTTTCCTCCAAATTCTCTAATTGACGATGCTAAAAACTCAGTTCTCAGTAGTCGATCTACCAAGCTAAGTTTTAAGGGTGATGCATCATCATCATCATCATCATAATCATAAGATCGTCAGTCCAAAGACTGGTTGGACACGTACCTCCACTGCTTCCTATCCTGAGCTAATCTTCACATTTCCCTAAATTAGAACATCCCATATCCTTAATTATTTTCGAATAGTAACCTAATCTAGGTCTACCTCTACTCCTCTTAGCCCCTATGTCTGCCTCTAACATGTCTCTGACTAGACCTTCATGCCTGAGAAGGTGTCCTACCGACCTATCTCGCCTATTTCATATTGACTTCTATAGAGTCCTCTGTTCTCATATTCTTTGTAATATCTCTTCATTTTTAACCTTCTCTATCCACGGTATCCTCATCATTCGCATGTAACAGCACATTTCGGACGCTTCTAACATTTTCTTTTCCGCCGCGCCCATCGTCCATGTTAAAACATACACCTTTAACCATCTTTTTCGAATTTCTTAATTAATCTTTCGCGAGCATAGAAGAATTTCTTTTTATTGAAGGCGACTGGACCCTGCGCTATCCTCTGCTTTATATCCCATACTACTCCCTCCGTCCTGACTTACCTGACTTCCTAAATACCTGAAATCAACCACTTCTTCTAATTTTTCGTCTCCTATTATGATGCGAGCCTTTCCCTACTTTTTCTTCCCGTGCATACCAGTAGTATTTTTGTTTTACATTTAATTTTCATACAATACTGTTTTGCCAATACCGCTGGATGATGCATGCTGACTATCAATTCTTTTAGTGAATCAGAACACAATATTGTCCAATGATCAATTTAGACTTGGAACCGCAAGCATAACTAATAACTTACGCTAATTCTGGCCTAAACTCATATAGGCTTAACTAAAACCTGTTCTAAAAACATGACGTATGTTGAATTCAGTACAGATATACCATGCGCTAAAAATTAGGAACAAAACAAGTGATTTTCAGTGTGCTTACTCTAGCTTTTCTTTACTAAGTAATCATGACCTTTGAGACAATGGTGTCACAACAGATATCAATGCAACCTAATTTATTTTACTTGTGCTTGTATAAGCTGTTCACTTACAACTCGTCCTAAAAACATTACAAGATAATTTATAACTTTCAAATTACTTTTTCCATATTCGATCATAAGCATAATTGTGTTTTTTCATGTAAGCAAGTCTTTATAATGTCATTATAGATATTATTATGTGGTCTCATTCCGTCTACTCATAAACGGCATTCACCTCCAGGTTTAATTTTATTAGAATCATGAACACAATTGCGGAAGCCGTTGTCGTCATTCCGGTCCCAAATTCCTCCTCCAAATGCAACATAACCTAAGTGTTACGTTAATCTGCATCACACACAGTGATGATAACACAAGTGATGTGAATGGCTCCGTTAATACACCACCGGTTTCACGTTTCCAACGTTGCACCGCTGCCATCATTATCCTGCACCAGCGCGTCCAATGCTGTCATTTGTGATGTTACGAGATATGAATCGTTCCGAGCAAGAGAACCTCTACCGTACGTCCAGGAGGCTAAGCCTGGTGCCGGGAACGCGAAGTGATAACGGTCGCGGTAGTGGAATCGAACCTGGTGCTGAAGGATCTTCGCGAAAACGGGCCGGCGGCGGTGGAGAAGGAGATGCAGAAAGCCTGGTACTCAGCGTCCTCAAGAGTCCCATCAATCATATCGATCCACGGAAAGGTGACAACAAAAACGCCGAACCGTCACCATTGTCGGAAGACGATCCTGGCACCGATACCGCCGATGAAGATGGAAGGTAAATATATATTATAATCAATTTATATTCACAAAAGATTTAGATTAGAACGGATAAGTGAATTTTTGAAAATATTCTATAAGATTTATTTGCACATTACTATCAATTTTATAATGTAGATAGAGACTGGTGTATATCCAAATACAACACTGATCAACTATATCCAAAATGACCACTTCGAGAAATGACTGTGTTATATCAAAATGTGTTTCGAAAATTAAACGCTTCGTTCAAAGTTTTGATGGCGGTCTTGGAAACAAGACTTTCTAAGATTATATTCTGAAACGCTAGAGTTCATAAAATTGTTCATGGAATAGTTTCCCAACGAAAGGATCTGTAGCAGAACTTTAATCAAAGGCAAAATTCAGCAAAATTAGAGAGTTCTGGGTAAAAAATATTTCCACTCATGGTGTCATCATGACAAACACAATTATATCAATCCTAAATTGTGGAGTAAGACTATAATATCAATCATCACCTTTAAAGTTTTTAAATGCTTTCATTCCTTCTTTTTTACAAAATGTTCCAAAACAAGTCCTGAAATTTTGTTCTGTGCGCGCTAAATAAATTTCAGTTCAAAATTTGCTCGAATTCTTAAACTGAGTTATCTCATCAATTTTAAATTGACTTTGTCATGTCTACATATCATATCGATTAATAATATGAAATTTACTATCCAATAACAGTTATGTTTACTAATCAATACCTCCCGAGTACTAAACAAGGGTAATTTAAGTGTTATTATTTCTTAGTACTTTTTTTTATTCGACACGCAAAGCCAGTGCAACATTGTCAGTACAAATAATGCATATCAGTTTTAGTTATCAAGGTCTAGGCCAAGCTCATGACATTAAAATGTAACTAAATGTGATAAGCTAGGGATAGGGATGTTAGGCGTTTACTAACGAAAAGCATTGGTTGGCATTTAATTCTTAAGGTTTTAATCATCAGGTTTTAGTCGTCAGTCCTAAGACTGATTGGACATGTACCTCCACTCTTTCCTATCCTGAGCTAATCTTCGCTTTCCTCTAACATTAGAACAACCCACATCCTTAACCATTTGTGGACAGTAATCTTATCTGGATCTACCTTTACCCCTCTTAACTCCAATTTCTGCCTCTAATATGTCCCTAACTAGACCTTCATGCCTGAGAAGGTATCCTACTAACCTATTTCGCCTATTTCGTATTGACTTCCACAGAGTCCTCTGTTCTCCTATTCTTTCTAATACCTCTTCATTTCTATAAATACATGCCAATAAAAAATAACGTTACAAATCACAGTTTTTTTGAATTCATGAAGACCATAGTGTTAATGTTCCCTTTTTAATCCTTTTAAGGTTCAAAGCGGGTGGAAGTGAAGACGAGCTCACGGAATCTGAACCAACGGAGAAGATCCCCTTCCTCCATCGGCTTCGCGGTCATAGAACCACCCGGATAGTGGAGAGTAACCACAAGAGAATTCCAACCCCGCTCAAGAAGAAACAGCGGTTTAAGAACAACAAGTCTAAGGACGTAGTCGATGCGGACGATGTAATCGACGAGGGCGATTTGGCGGAAACGTCGGACGCGCCGCAAGGTGTCCCTGATCCTTATTATCCCATTTATCTCCCGATCGACCAGGCGTTCAAAACGAAATATGTCTTTCATCATAAAAAAGGAAAAACATTCCAGGAACGGACGTACGTGTTTCTCGAACATCCTGGAGGATGGTTGTGCTTCATTTATCACTTTACTGTGTAAGTAATTGCGATTGTCAATTTTCAGAGACTTGCAATAAAGTGTCAGTAAATAAAACATACAATAATTTTACTAAGCACATGTACATTGAAACCTACATTGTTCTTAAAAAATTGAATTTAAACATTTACTTTCTTAAACAAGTCAGCAAACCAAATAGTACACGAAATTTCCAACTGTTAACTTATAGGTAGATACTCAATAAGTAGTCATATTCATCTTAATAAAGACATATCGCTTATGGTAATAACGAACATACCTCTCTTATCAATAAAGCAGTATTTATTCATTTGATTCCTTTCTGGGGGTCGCTATATCTTTAAAAACAAATTGGGAACCTTTAGAACATCACTCTCGTTCCTGTTTGATCATTTAATTATACCTCTGCAGTGTACAGGTGTACACTAACGTATAACAGTGAAATTTAGGATTTTGATTTTGGAGTACTTCAATTTGTTCAATATTGGGAACATTTTTAGGGTTTCCCCAATGCACACAGATTATCTAAAACCGATGTCCCTGTGTTCCTACCCAATTAGGTAGAAATAAATATAAAATTTGTGAAGAAGGTTACTACAGTTCCTTCAAGATGGATAATCTGACAACGTCTTTCGTAATTTAACAAAATCAAAACATATTGAAGTGAAAATTATTGAAGTATAAGAATCAACAGCTTAATAAAATTGAAACAACAGAAATTTACGTCATATTCATCAGGGTACCAAAATGATTCTTTCGACTATAATAAATAGACAACCTTTTTTGTGGTGCTTAGCAGGGTTCTTACATTGTCAATTTTCAAGTGGCCACGATAAATACACAAGAGCTGTAGTCTAGCCGGATAATTATTCAAAAAAAAAAAAATCGAGTCCTCAATATGATATTTATGAGAAAAATAGTAGGAATTGGATATATTGACAAAAACGGTACGCAGAAAAATTTTGAGTATGTGGGAAAAAGTAGTAGCGATGAAAAACATGTAACAAGTGCGTCTCAAAAGATGGAAATCTATCCATAATTAATTATAATTCGTAAGGGGTAAATTATTTATTAAAAAGTATTTATATTACGTTATCAAGAAAATCGCTGAAATATAGAAACAGGTGTTTTGAAAAATATTAGCTAATCGGCGGAAAATTAATCTACAGCAAATATTTAAGTCGCTTTGCGTTCGTGGACAGTTCCTCTAGAAACCCATTATAATATCAAAAAATGATCCGAAAAACCAGAAGGTCTGATGAATTAGCTATAAGGAATGCCAGGCGTGGCGAAAGAACTCGACGTTCCAGTCGGCTTTTCAAACTCAACGAACAGTAGCAAAAGTGATCTCGTAGAGTTCACCACCACACAGCACATACCCTGTTGCTGGATCGTCCTACCGTCTGGTTCTACGGAATTATTTTTGAAGGGTATTATAACCTTTCTCGTACTTTAATTATAATGGGTTCTTCGATGAACTCTTCGCGAACACACCGCAATTTGAATATTTTTTTCGTAGAAACCAATTTACCAATGTACCCGCTTTAGATTTCAATATTTTTTTCGAAAAAGTATAAATGTTTTTTAATAAAATATTCACTACAATTATATATAAGTAACAGCTGCAATTTCAACCCAAAAAGGCATCCTTCAAATCAAAACGTGAAATAATATTTTATTAATACATCAAATTCGTACTATTTTCCTCATATTTATCAATTCGAAAAAATGGAAACATTTTTTCTCTATCTTGATCGCACTATCTGCCGTTCATGAGAGGTAGCACTTAAATTGAAGTTAGAATTAGAGTCTTCGTGTTGTACGAGTGTCGTGTCTAAACGGAATAAACATTCGAATTGTTCTTCAGGCGTTCGAAATAAGATATTGTTTTGTGTTATTCCATGTTGGTTTCATATCCAACCACGACTTGCTATCAATGATTTATTCCTCATAATGCAGAGCAACCGTTTCCCCTTTGCCGTACTTCTTCATTCTGTATCTTTCAGTCTGAAACTTGAGTTACAGTAATGAATATCAGCGGCATTGTTAGAGTCACGAAACTTGGCGAACTTGTACCTTCCGTTCCGCGCTTTTGACGCGCATCAAAAGAAAAGGTCATGCCAAAATTCGGTTTTTCATGTTTCATTTACTTAATTGCCACAACTGGCGCAGGAAATTCAGGTTAATTTAAAGGCGACCTTGTCCGTGAAAACTTGCACTCGGTTCCTAGATCTATTATCTCTATTACCTACATAATTATAAAATACCACGTATAGAATGCTTTTCATGGCGTACTTATAGATTTTTTCAGTTAATTACAAATGAAAGTCTTAATGAGAGCATAAGAAGTCATTTATATGGTATCAGATCGACCGTTTCCCTTATGAAACTATGTAGTTATTCCTGTAAAAACTTATCGGTATTAGCAGTTGATGATGTACAAGGTCGTAGGAACACGCAGTGTCTTTTAATGTTTAAGAAGGAAAATCATGTTTTTTCATCAACTATTTCATGAACAGTAATAGTGCATAACGTCATTTAAGACGAACTGTATAATCAATAACGGTTTATTTGTGTTCCATTGTTCATCATCATCATAGGGTCGTCAGTCCTAAGACTGGTTCGACACGCACCTCGACTCTTTCCTATTCTGAGCTAAACTTCGCATTTCCCGAAAACTAGAACAACCCACATCCTTAACTATTTGTGAACAGTAATCTAACCTAGGTCTACCTCTACCCCTCCTAACTCCTGTTTCTGCCTCTGATATGTCTCTGACCAGCCTTTATGCCTGAGAAGCTGTCCTACCAACCTATCTCGCCTATTCTTTATTGACTTCCATAGAGTCCTCTGTTCTCCTATTCTTTCTAATATCTCTTCATTTCTAACCTTTTCTACAAACGTTACCCTCATCATTCGCCTATAACACCACATTTCTAACCTTTTCTTTTCCGCCGCGCCCACTGTCCATGTTTCACACCGTGATCCAAACATACACCTTTAACAACCTTTTTCGAATTTCTAAATTAACCGTTCGCGAGCATAGAAGTGACTTCTTTTTATTAAAGGCGACACGACCCTGCGCTATCCTCTGCTTTATATCCCTACTACTCCTTCCATTCTGACTTATCTGACTTCCTAGACATCTAAAATCAGCCACTTTCGTCTCCTATCTTTATGTTCGCTTTTTCCGTACATTTTCTTCCCTTGCACACCAGTATTTTAGTTTTACTTTTATTTATTTTCATACAGTACTGATCTGTCAGTACCGCTTTCATTTTATTTAAAGCTATCTCTAGGTTTCATTATTACTCATCCTAAATTCAAACTGTTGCAGTATTATCCGGTATGTTTTTATTACTAAGCACATTGGGTTTAATGTGTCAGGCAATTTTTCAGTTTATGGTAGATGCCTTTCGTGTATATGTATACATGTGTACCTCTAAAGGTAATCAATAAAAGCATTTAGATAATTGGAAAAAATAGAAATGTGATTGAACGTCGCTTAAGTTTAAAGTAACATCAGAGAACAATAATATTATGAAACAAAGACAACCTATAATGTAATAAATGAATCAATGATGGTGGCATGGTTTCATGGCTCCTTGACATGGTTAATACAAAATAGTCTATTGTCTATCTCAATGTATTTCAACGTTAAGAGTTTTATGAGTCACATAAATAAAAGCCGATTCTAGCAGAACTGATTAATTATTTATAGCTATAATATTCGATTAGAGAACATAAAGCTAGTAAATTACTACAAACAGCGCAGTGAACGCCACCTGTAGAAAATTGTCACATTTTGTGGGAATTAGGATAAAGTCCATAAAGTTATCGACCTGTCGAACTGAACCCAGGACGTAGTTACCCCTAGACACGTAACCAAACATCCCACAAAACGCAGTAGATGGCGTTCATTAAGCTGTTTGTAGCAACTCATTAAACGCAATTTAAAGGCAATAAGTACTATCGTAATTGCCTACGTTGTACCAACGAGGGCCAATGTCATCCTGTCTGACTGATTGTACTAATACGACCACCATGAACCTTTTCCTGTGAGCTGTTTGCTAGAATTAATAGAAACTGCCAAATCTTCATGGTGATGTTAAAACTTATTGGTTTTGGTTAATAGATACACCACAGGTGGCATCAATCACAAAGCAAGCCAAAGTTAATTAATATGTAAATAACTGATAACATATTACAATTTTATAATTCTATTTGCTGCTAACTGTGATACAAGGTGTCCAAAAAGAGCAGGGGGTATTTGTATCTGCGCTGACCTTGTAACGGCGCTGTTCGGAGGGGTGCGATAGGGATAGGTTGTTTCACTACTTTCTGGTGATTTAATGATCATGGAAATGCACCAGGGAGACTAACGTGCATTTTGCGTACCCGCCTATTATCGCAATGGTGATCCGATGATCATAGCTCAACGATTATATCGGGCAAAATTCAATGTCCAATGCATCAAAGGACGATACCATCAGAAAATGGATTCGAATGTTCGAGGATACCGGTTTGACTGCAAAAGTTAACAATCCAGAATACCCGCGCTCTGTTCGAACCCAACAAACGATTGAAGAAATGTCAGTGCGTGAAAATCCGTCTCAATCAGTTTGCAAATGCAGTCAAGAACTTGACATTAAAATCGTCGTTACAGCAGATTCTGAAGCAAGATTTACATCTAACAGCTGCAAAATTCAGTTAATTCAAAAACTGAACGTTACCGATTGTCCTCTCCGACTGAATTTTGCAAATGAAATTCTTCAACGCTTTCCAACGTTTGAAAACATTCTGTTTAGTGACGAAGCGAACTTTCACACTTTCAAATGGTCACGTAAATAAACAGAACACTCGCTACTGGGCCTAAGAAAATCCAAGACGTGAATATGAACAACCATTACATAGTCCAAAAGTTATTGCGTGGACTACCATGTCTGATGAAGGCATCATTGGACTTTCTTTTTTTGAAGATCGGCCAGGACGAACACGTACGGTAAACAGTGACCGGTAT